TACGAGGGCAACACTGAGGGTTGCGATCCGTTGCCGGACACGGAAAAAAAAAAAAAAAAAAAAAAAAAAAAAAAAGCATCAACAACAACAAAAAAACCACCCACCACCCAAACCAGACTATAAAGGTTCATGCGTGGTATCACTTTAAATATACTCACTACAAACCTAATGGAGGTTTACCAGTTTGCACAGTCAGTGTGTATGAACAAGTTTAAGTAATGAGGTACAGCAGAAAAGACAGAATCTAAATGGGAAAGCCTGTGTTAAGTCATGGTCCTGTCACTTAACTGCTGGATGACATTAGGAATTCATTTAATCTCTCTGAATCATAATTTCTTCATCTGTGAAACAGATTTTTTGAGAGGACTGTATTAGAAAAAGCATGTGACACTGTTGGGAAATGTGCAAAGTGTTATAAAAGTATTGAGTGTTTTTATTACTATGAATAGAGTTGTAATTTTCCGACACAGTTGATATGTAACACCTTAAAATATTTTTTACTAGTTTTTCCCTTTAAGCAGCTGGGTGAAACATCAGGACAGTTCTAACAATGTAATTATCACTGGTACTTCCAGAGAACTGATAACAGTAGCAAACTAAAACTAAAATAAAAATTAAACTAAACAAAAACCATATCCTCAGCCTAATTTTTAGAGAATACCCAGAAATTAAAAAAATCTCAGGAGCAATCTCACATGTTCGTGCTCACCCTGCTCCTGCTGCAAGGTTTTGAGGCAAGCAAAGACAGGCCAAGTCTACCCTACCTGAAAATACTACCACTGTGTCAAGTTAGAGGTAGGTTTATAGGGAAGAGACTTAAAAGTACACACTATTTGGAATGTCAGACTTCAAAAGCAAAACATCTGAGAGAGAAATAAAGCAAAAAAGACGGGAGAGGCGTCCTTTGGCACTTGGGTGGTGAAAGTAAAAAGAAAAACTAAAAATTTAGGGTCCTGCAAGACAAAAGCAAAACAAAAAGTTGGAAGATATATATCCATCCACACAAAAACCAAAAAAATGTATTCAGAATCTACACTGTTATACTGACAGAAGAGGGAGCCACTGGCTAGTAATCTTAGAAAATATCTGATACCCAAAAATGAGGAAGAAAAGGACAAACATCTATACAGTTATTACAAAAAAATCAGAAAATAAGAACCAACACATTTCAACTGAAGAAAACTCCTGAAACAAACATGAAGCAGAACAAAACTTTAAGATAACACTCCAAACTAAACTAATCTATTCACACAAACATTTGGGGATATTTAAAAATCACCATGAATCAGAAATTTGGGATGTTAGAAGTAGACAAACTACAAGAAGAAATTAAAAGAACTGACTGAACTCAGAAAAGAAATGGAAGGAAAAAGCAAAATTACCTCAGAAAGAAAAGAAGACTAAGTTACAAAATATGCAAAGCAAAATAGAATCAAGTAAAAATTTAATAAGAGGCATCAAAGAAAGGTGGGGAATCAACTAAGAAAATAATAAAAAAATAAAAATGAGAAAAAGAAGTAAAAAAAAAAAAAATAGTGAAAATGCGAGGCAAGTCAAAAAGAAATAGCATTCATTTAATTTGTATCCCTGAAGAAGAAAAACTAAACAATGCAAACAGAACTAATATTTAAAACTGTAATCCAAGAAAACTTTCCAGAAATAAAAGGAGACCTCAATCTACACATTGAAAGTGCCTACCAGGCACCTTAGATATTAACCTAAAATGAACATCTTAAGACATAACAGGAAAACAGACTTCAAAGAAAAAAACCTTCAGTGTCTTCAGTAAAAAGACAAAATACCTTACAGGGGCAAAAGAATTACACTGGCATCAGATTCTGCACAAAGAATGCACAAAGCAAGGCAATGATGGAACAACAATTTTTAAAAACTCAATATTGGAAAGTGTAAGTCAAAGACTTTTACATCCACCAACTTGCCCTTTAAGTTTCAAGGTTATAGAAAACCAGTTTTAAAAGTACGGCAACATACTTCTCATGAGCCCTCCTTCAGAAGTCTAAAGGATGGGCCAGCCCGGTGGCGCACTGCTATAGTGCGCCGCTTGGGAGCATGGTGGCGCTCCCGCCAAGGGTTCAGATCCCACATACAGACCAGTTCCCGCTCACTGGCTGAGCGAGGCGCGGGAGCAGCACCGAGGGTTGCGATCCCGTTGCCGGTCCCAGTCCGGTGTAGGGGCGACACTGAGGGTTGCGATCCGTTGCCGGACACGGAAAAAGACAAAAAAAAAAAAGAAGTCTAAAGGATAAGCTTCACCAAACCAAGAGATAACTGAACAAACTTCAACATAAGAACTTAAAGTGAAGATTTAAATATATCCAAATGTCATTTCTAAAACATTGAGATAAGGGTGGAAGACAAAGGTACAGATGTTACACATTGTGACAAAAATTGGGAGGAAATGGGAGAGGGTAAGAGGAAAGAAAAACTTGTACAGGCTGATTTGTGCGAGTTAAAAGAATACCATTTAAAAACTGACACAGAAGGTTAAATAATAGGGAATTAAAACAAATATAAACATTCATAAATGCCAGAAAATATAACTTTAAATTAAAGAGTAAAGATGACACATCATAGAAAAAGGAAGATAGCAAATAAACAGATGTAATTATAAAATACTGTGACAGTTGAGACCGAATGTGTCAGTCATAAAAACAAATATAAACAGACCTAACTCACTAAGAGAAAACACTTTCAATTTGGCTTACGAAGCTGGACTCAGTCACATACTGTATTCAAGAAACATACTTAAAGGGATTCAGAAAGAATAAGAATAAAGGTAAAAAAAAGGGGCCGGCCCGGTGGCGCACTGCTACAGTGCGCAGCTTGGGAGCGCGGCACCGCTGCCGCCAAGGGTTTGGATCCCACATACAGACCGGTTCCCGCTCACTGGCTGAGCGAGGGGCGGGCGCAGCACCGAGGGTTGCGATTCGTTGCTGGACACGAAAAAAGACAAAAAGGAAAAAAAAAAACNCGGTTCCCGCTCACTGGCTGAGCGAGGTGCGGGCACAGCACCGAGGGTTGCGATCCGTTGCTGGACACGAAAAAAGACAAAAAGGAAAAAAAAAAAAGGTAAAAACAAAGGTATTTCAAACAAGTGGAAATAATTTTTACAATTGGATATCAGATAATATCCAAGAAAATAGAATTCAAAATAAGAAACATTAAACTTTAAAAGAAGGGCACTTTTTAATACTAAAAGTCACAGTTCAAAATGAAGATCTAAAAACTGAATTTCTATGCACCAAATAACATAGCAACTACTTTATGAAGGAAAGGAGATGCAAGAAGATGTATATATTGAAACACACAAATAAGAGACTTCAATATTCCAATCTCAGTACAAGAAACATCAAACAAAAAATAAATGATATAAAAGACCTAAACAAAATGATTAGTAAAGTAGATCATATGAATATGGATAAATATATATATATATCAAACTTTACATGCTGATAATACAGTATATACCTTCTCCCCTAAGCATGAAACATAAAATCAAACATCAGGAAATATCAGAAAATTATATAAAATTGAAATATTACAAATAATATGGTCAATAAAAAGAATTGATTCAACAAAATTTAAAACTATTAACAAAACTTCTATCTGGAAATAAAGATTCATGGGTGAAAGAGGAAGTATAAACTGAAATTTCAGAAATGATAAGAAACTGCTGGATACATGTAAAACAGTGATAAAAAGAAAATCCACAATAATATTTTTTCAGTAAAATAAATTTTTTTTAAAAGTAAAAAAGGACAATAAACAAAAGAAAGCACATGGAAGTATTAAAGATAAAAGCAGAAATCAATGAAATAGAGTACAGAACAAAAACGACCTAATTTTTTAAATCTAGTGTTTTTAAATTAACAAAATAACCACCAGCTAACTTGATTAAGAAAGAGGTAGGGAATAAGGGGAGTAGAACAGAGAAAACTCATGTATGCAAAAAGATAAATACTGTAACAAGAAAAATAAACAAGAAATTTTAAAAATCACATGTAACTACATCATTGTAGGCCTCTATACAAATAAATTTGAAAACACCAAAGAAATTGGTACTTTTCTAGGAAAATTCAGATTACCCACACTGAACACATTAAAGAGACAGAGCTTAAACACACCAATTTCCCTAAAAAAAAAAAAAAAGGTACTAAGGAACTATCCCACTGAAAAGGCAACAAACCTAGATGGTCTCACAAAGGAATTCAGGCCAACTATTTGTTCCAGTGCTCCATAAATTGTTCCAAGGCACTGAAAATGAATGAAAATTTACTAATTGTTTTTATGCTCTATAACATTGACACCTAAACCTGATAGAGAATAAAAAGGAAAAAACATAGACCAATGTCATTCATGGGTATTGATGCAAAATTTTAAATAACAAATAGCAAGCAAAACCCAGCATCACATTAAGAAAATAACTGGTCACTGTGTCTTAAAAGCAGAAATAAAGGAAAAAAGAAAAGAAAAAAGAATATGCCATAACCTAGTGGAACTGACCATTTTAGAAAGATACAAGGAAGGAAAATCCTAGGATTACCTTTGTGGATGCTGAAAAAGTCTTTCACAAAATTAAACACCCATTCCTGACTTTAAAAAAAAGAAGAAAATGACAATTGATGAATGCTTGCTGAACAAGATACAAAATATATACTTTAGTCCTAAGGCCAGTAACTTATACCTGGGAAAACACTAGAGATCTTTGCGCTGTTATCAAGAACAAGAGAAGGATACTCACTATATCCATAATGGTTCTAAATTATGC